GATACATAGATAATTAGATATCTGAAAGGGCGTGTATCAGAGGAACTGGCTCCCGTGGTTCCAGTGGTGCAGAGTTCACGAACAGCCACCTGCAGGCTGGAGAGCCAGAGAAGCTGGTAGCATGGCTCAGACCAAGTCCGAGGTCTCGGGACCAGGGACACCAAGGTGGAACTCCCACTTCGGGCTGCAGGTGTGAAAACCTGGGGCCACAGATGCGAATCCAGGATGCCAAAGGCCACAAGCCTGGAGTTCTGATGTCCAAGGGCAGTAGCCCAGCTCCAGCGGAGAGAGGGAATTTGACTTTCTTCTACCTTTAAAAAATATTTATTTATTTATTTATTTATTTATTTCTTCTGAGAGAGAGAGACAGAAAGGCAGGGAGAGATAGAGGTACCCCCAACAGGGCCTTTACCCTACAATCTGCCCCCAGCCTTGTCCAGCCTAAATTACGGGCACAGCTGCATGTGCCTGGTAGGTGGGACATGAACCTGGGACCTTTGCACCTGGGGCCAGCATTGAAGAGCATGTGCCACAGCCGCACCACGGCTGGCCTCATCCTTCGACTCCAGTTGGATGATGCCCATCCACAGCAGGGAGGAAGAGTTTCCATATGCAATCTAGTGACTCAGACACCCTCCAAACACGCTCAGAAAAAAGCTCTCCCTACTCTCTAGATGTCCTTGTCCAGCTGAGGTGACACCTAAAATTGCTGTCAGGGGAGGGGACAGGCTGAGAGGGACTGAAGACATGTTTGCAACCAATCTATAGTATCTCCTTTCTCGTCATGCTCTAAGTAAATAATATTAAAAACATGATCATAGAATTTTCAGATGTACTAGGGCGTATACACACATGGAGTTAAGAAGGAAACGTACATTTTGCAAAAGAGAGAGGAGTCAAGGACATTTTGGGCAGAGAAGCAGCCAGGACAGATACAACGGTGGGAACAATTACGACGCGCTTGGAGGTGTGGAGAAACGGGTCAGTACAAAGCGTCCAGCGTGGTAGTGGCGGTGCTGTGCTGGTGCATCTGCATCTTCAGGGAGGCACTTGGTGACGGTATACACGTTCCTGGACTTCACACAGACTCAGTAAATAAAACCTCTCGAGGGAGTCGGCAGGTGGCATGGGAACAGTACTGTTATAATGAAAATACTATGGTACCTTTAAGGATTAATGAGACTATGTACAGGGCTTAGCAGAGGACCCAGCATTTAATAAATGCCAAGCCTTTCCCCTGCATTATCCCCATGACCATTGACTGAGAAAGGAAAAAAGGGATGCCTGATTCAGAAGGAATTCCCACTGGGACCTGCACCTCTAGGACTGTGTCCTCCAGGAATAACTCACAGGCACGCATGGGGTAGCACACAGATGTTATTGCCGTATTATTCAAACTAGAAGGAAAACAATGAAAAACAATCTTCATTTTCATCAAAAGGGGCAGTGGTGGCTAAATGAATTTTGTATTTAAACTCCGAATACTAGGGAGATCTCACGAGAGAGTGAAAAAAGAAAGCCAACATGAAAAGGTCTCTGAGATACATTCCTAACTGGAAAAAAACAGGTCATTGAAGAGAGTGTGTTGTAATCCCATTTAGGTTTAAGCAAAGTCTGACATACAAGTAGCTATTATTTATGTATATGCTATGGTCTGAATTTTGTGTCCCTTCCTCCCTCCAAAAATATCCTATGCTGAAATCCTAACCACTAAGGATGACTTTTTGGACTCCCCACCTTCCAGAACTGTGACAGATAAATGCCTGTTGTTCATAAGCTACCTTTGCTTATGGTCCTTTTGTTAAAACAACCTGAATAGACTGAGACACTCTGTAAGTGTGTAAATACATCAGTAACAGTAGAGAAAAAATGCACTATGTGAACACATAGTTTCCTCCATAATTTGAGAAATTTGTCAATATTACAAGTTTTACAGGCTTGAGGGAGTATTTTTGAGGTGACAGAAATGTCACAACTGGATCGTAGTAATAAGATTACTGAATTTGTACATTTAAACTGAGTGAATTTTGTAGTATGTAAATAATACCTCAATAAAACTGTTTCTAACAAGCCTCCCAGGTGATTTCAATGTGCATCTAATTTGGAGATCCCCATCTGGAAAATGCTTTTTCCCACCGCCTCCCTTTTCCCCAAATTCCATCTTCCTTTCGCAGATGAACATGTGTTTATCCTTCATTAGAAAGGGTGATAATATAATCAAGAACACATGGTAAAAATCAAAATCCTATAAACATCTTCGAAGTATTTATAACTGTGCATATTTAAGGGTTAGTGAAATGGAAACACATTAGAATCTCTCAGAAAATTCTAACTTTTCTCATGGTTAAATTCAACAAAATGTCTGATCTTGGGTCTTACTCACTGTGGAGTCTATGGAGAGCATCAGCCCCGAAAACCAGGCCAGAGGGATGCGTGTGGGATGTGGGACATGGTCACGCCTACCTCGAAGACTGGGTAAGATGGTGAAATGGTGTGCCTTAAATGGCCGCCTTCTCTACTCTGCACCCCTGTCCTGCCCTGGTCCCTGCTAAGCCAAGCTGGCTTCGAGGTTTCTCTCCTGACCTGAGTTCACTGTCAGGGACCGCCTGGTCCAAGGCATCTGACACAGGCGGGCATAAATCGGTTGTCACTTGGCTAAATGAAGCTCTAACGCCCAAGCCCTGCACTGGCCCTCTAACCAAGAAGGGTCTCTTTCCAGTGCCTCTGAAGACATCCAGTACAGAAAAAACAAGCCATTGCCCTCAGGGGATCACAATATCAGGATAACGCCCTATCCGGTTCAGCCAAGAGCCGTTGCCGATTGACTCGACGGCGTTCCACGAGCTGCACGGGATGGGATGGGATGTGTGCTCCAGCCCAGCTGGGTCCGCGCTCTGCACTTCCAATGCACTTCGTGGGCTTCACCGAGATCCAATAAATAAAATATCTTGGGAACAGTTCTGTTATGATAAAAATACTATGGTACCTTACAGATTAAGGATTAATGAGAATATGTAAAGGTACGACTTTTCATGGAAAACTTCTTGTCTCGCTGCAGCGGGATCCAACGAAGTAGCATCTCTCACTCAGCCCTGAAGGTGGCCCAGGGCTCCCAAGAATTGTGCTAACGAGCTCTCCTAGACTCATGCTGCATTAGACTTGTAGGAAGAGCCTGTCTGAAACCGGTTGCAGAGGCCAGGCCTTGGCTCCTCCCTGCCAGCCCATTGAGAGCGAAGAATAACAGAACGACTGACTGACTGCCAGACTGCCTGATTCAGGCAGTCGGGAGGGGCACCGAGGGGCGTGGCGCCTAGCAGGGCTGGGCCCTGAGTGGGGCGGACCCTGAGGGGGCGGGTCACGGAGCAGGGCTGGGCACCTAGTGGGTGGGGTGCTGAGCTGGGCGGGACACTGAATCCGAGTACCTGGCAGGGAGGAGCGCCAAGGGGGCTTGCTCTGACCACCTGTCCTCATTCTCTCGTTTCCTTCCTACTTTCTCCTTAAGAGTCTTCCATCTGCGTGTGAGGTCAGATTAGGCCACTGCTTAATCTTCTATTTGCCTTAAAACTCAATAATTAAAATACCTCCGCCATGGCAGATTTTGCCTTTCCTGCTCGGCCCTTCCTCCTGTGATTTGCATAACAGTATCTCACATTTCTCTGGCTTGACTCAAGGGGCTTAGTGCGCTCTGCTCCCGACAGAAAGAGGCATGAAATATGAGGAATGTAGCAGAAGGAAACGACTTCAATGACTGACCTAGTTTCTTTTCCAGTGTTGGAAACAAGTTATGACTTAAGAAGTACAAAATATAACTTGAGGGGCCATGGAAACTTTAATCATTCTGGTACAATTTTTTAGACAATTCTTCCAATTGAAAACGTTTTTGTTACCTTGGAAGTTAGTTCTTTATTTCCTTTTAAAAATGCAAAGGCCCATGGAAAAGAAATGCATGAGAGATTTCACTAGCGTCACTGTGTGGATGGGTTTGTTTCTGACACACAAGACTCACCTTAGAGCACTTTAGTTCCCAGTCTCTACCCTGCCATTGGCCAGCTGGGTGGCTTCTGGCAGGTCTCTGGGGCTCCCCAAGGTCAGTCTTCTCTGCATGTTGCCTTCTTTGTGGGCTGCGAGGGTGGCTGCCATTCGCGTGAAGCACCTGGCAGGAGCTTGGCTGCACGGACAGTAGCAGGAAACTACTCATCCTGCCAGCAGAGCAGCGCTGTGGTGCGTTTGCGGCCTTCTTCCATACTCAAGAGCAACTCTCCTGCATCAGCTCTGAAAGAGAAAACTGTGGGTCACTCACCGTCGTGCACAGGCCCTGTGTGTGTCCAGTCCCCTGCTCCACGTCCCTCCTGGAATGAGGGGGTTCCAGTCCGGCACTCCGCAGGTGCCTCTGGTTATCCTGCCAAGGACAATGGGGCTGCACTGTCACTGGGGCTCTGGACCCACACATTAGTTTTGCTGAAGGGTCTTTAAAAGCCAGGTGTGAATTCCCAGTTTAATACTAATTTACAACGTCTATATCCCTAATTTAAAAAGCATTTGAGATGGCAACTGTAGATCTCTGCTCATCGAAGCCCACGTTACACACCCCCATGGTCCTGCTGCAAATGTGAGACTGCTTCAGTGGGTTCTCGGGAGGTCATGATTTTAATAAGCATCGCATGCATCATGATTTTATTTCTTGGCTCCTGGCTTTTCACATGTATTTCTGTTTCCTTCAAACCAGCCTGTGTGCTGACTCACTCGGCGGCATGTCGAAGGTGGAAGAACCCCCTCCCTCACCCACACGCTTACCTATCCTGGATTTTAATTTCAGAGGAAGTGCCATAAATATGTGTCCTTTGATTTGAAAAGACTCACTAAGAATTAAGCAGCTGGGCGAGGGAGACTAGAGATAAGGTTTCCTAAGGCAGGAAGAAGGCAGTGCACGGCCGTAAAAGCAAGAAGAGACCATGGAGTTGATGTTTTGCATGTGGAATTCTTGCTGCATTTACAGACCCACTGGTTTTATTTAGGAAGGGGAGGGAGACAAGCCCTGGCACAGGCAGAAATAACAAATGGCCACACGTCTCTTATTGGGGAGGGAAGGGCAGGCAGGATCTGCAAACGACCTGATTTCTGCTGGGTAAACAGGAGAAAAAAGCGCTGCAGCCTCCCCAGCTCTGCTGAGCTGGGACTTGACTTCTTGGCTTCAGCTTCCAGCCTGAACACTCCCCTGTGGATTTCCAGGGTGTATCTGCCTGACTTCCCATCCAGGCTCCCCTTCAGCTCGCATCTCTCTGGTAGTAGCTCTGGTCCCTGCCCGGTGGTTATTTTGTGCGATGGATACACAGCAGTATTGCAATTGTGCTGGAGTCTTTATTCAGAGGGAGATATATCATGTTTCCATGCCAACGAACTCCACGAGGCAGCCAATATTTCCTCCTCCCTCCCCTTCGTGCTCTCCCTTTCTCCTTTCCTGCCTGTTGTTTCATGCCACACTCTGTGTGCACACCTATGTAAAACACAGTTGCCAGAGACAGACAGAAGGGAACAGGCCATGGGGAAGGTGTTTCCAAATTGTTAGAATTTCTGGCTCCATTTACTTGAAGTGTATCCCCGGGGGATCAGTGTGGTTTTGTAGAGCACACGGACAGGTCAGGTCGTAATAACAAAGTCGAGGAAGTGCATGTGTGTCCTCCTTCTCCAACATCGAGCAGCGTTAGTGATGTGCATTGAATTATCCATAGTTTTCACTCTGCTGTGGGGCACCATCCCATAGCCTCTTCTCCTTATTTACGGGCTTCCTTGTGTCCATTAAAGTCTTCTGACAAATCTTCCCCTCTGGATTGTCATCCTGGATTCTGATGGAATTAAAGAAATTGCTTCCTAAAAATCAAAGTTCCTTGCACCTGCCATTACTCCCTCCACCGTCATGCTCCCGGTCCTCAGTTCCCGCTGCAGGGTGCGGACTCCCGTAATGTCAGTCAGGGACAGAGGGTAGTTCGTTATTTGATCTATGTGCTAATTGTTATATGCTTATCAGAATAATTTCCCAAGGGCTACTTTTGCTCGGGCGTTCAGCATCCAACGGCAAGGGCAACAAGGGAGCTTTCGGGGGACAGTGTCGGGGTCCTCCTCAGGTGGAGAGACTTTACCAGGCCACGGTGAGAGGTGACGCTGCCCTGCTCTGCCTTGGAGGGTTATGACCTCCCGGGGACACAGGCTGTTTCCGTGCTCTGCGTCACTGCCCGTCCAGCCTGTCTGACACAGGTCCTTTCATGAGTGGGCACTCAAAGCTTGCTAACAGTGAGATCTCAGCGGTCTCCTCTTTCCCAGGACCACGGCCGCACCCCGTTCCAGTAGCTTTCAGGTTTACTCAGCTGGCCTGACCTGGGTAACTTCACCTATAGTGGCAAAAAAAAAAAAAAAAAAAAAAAAACGATTCAAATTGCCTGAGAGAAAAAAATAGGGGAT